GCACAGTAGGAAGGTGTGGGGATGAAGGTGCTGAGTTTTGCACCTCACCCACCCTGTGAGGAGCTGGCTGTTTGCTTTAGTAAACAAAAAAATTAATCTGTGCTCAGTTTGGCCTTTGGACACTCTGCTATACCAGAGAGGAAGAAACAAACTGCAGAGAAAAATGTTTTTCTCTTCTGACACTGCACTTCCATTTAGGAAAAACACCCTGCAGCCCTGACTGCCAGGGGCAGATGGACATGAGCATGTCAGGGGACTTTTCTTCTTAGAAAAGGAAAAGCCAAGGCTGATGAAATTAATTTGGTATTAATTATGCCCTAGCAATCTTGTGGCATGGGACCTTCAGTCTCTATATCCCAGCCAGGGCTTGGCTGCTCATGCCCTGCTGCTCTCCTAAAAGCAGAGACATCCTTTTGTCCCCTGAAACAAGTTTCCCTCCTCCCAGGTGGCACAAGACCTGCCAGGATGCTCAGCCATGACCAAGTCTCTGTCAGGTACTTTTATCTATCCAGGGCATGCCCTCCCCATCCCTTAAATCAACTTAAAATGAATTTGTGGAAGGTGTCCCTGCCCAGACACTTCCAACTTGCAGTGCCTCTTGTAGTTACATGGCCATGCAAATGTTTCCATTGCTGCCTGAAACGTGGCAGGTCCAGCCAGCTCCATGGCAATGTCCCTGGGTTTGCTGGATGCAGATTTTAATTGATCTGCAGCATTTCCAGTGCTCAGGTTCACTTGATAAATCCAGGCTGATCACTGCACCACTTCCCTTCTCCACTGCATCAATTTTTGGTGTCTTATACACTCATTTGCTGCTGACTAGACCCAAAATTACATGTAATGCTTCAGTTTTGTCTTACAAGCAGCAGCCATGGGTTTATATCCTCAAGAACAGCCAGGTAAGCAAGAGCCTTTCCTTCACCATTCTTCAGATTCAATGTTCAGAATCACACCAACATTTTATTTCCATAGTTGAGATCCCTCTTCCACAGAAAATTCCAAACTGTGTTTTTCTCATGAGCACCAGTGTCAGGGCTCGGGGTTTGCCATGTGAAGCTCACAAGCAATCCACACTGAGATTTTAGCTCCAGTTGCTGCCAGACTGGGGTGTCCAGAAGAGTCTTGTGCAGATTCTAATAATGTGGATGCTATTCAGCACCACAAGCCCTGGTGTGGCTCACAGCACCTTGATTTGTTATAAGGTAAATGTGAAATTATATTTTTCCTATTTCCTGTCTCCTCAAAGTCTGTACTCTGCTATCCAAAAAAAAAAAAAAAAAAAAAAAATCCCCAAGTATCTCCTGCCTCAGTGTTTCCACAGCCTCATCTCCTCATACTCCTGTTTCAGAGTAATAGCTGTGTATTTTTAAGCCTAGCATGCTGACAGCAAAACAAATATCCAATTAAATACTTATTTTTAATGGATGCTGTACAGCTTGCATGCAGCCAAATCCCTTGATTAACCTTGTGATTTTCATGCTGTTAAGCCACATTCTTCACTTTCAATTCTAGAGGAAAGTCTTCCCTGGACTGTGCATCCCCCTCCTGCAGCCCCCTGGCAGTGACCCCGTGCCCAGCAGGCAGATCCTGAGAGCCATGGTGGCTTTGGAAGCTTCTTCTGAAGCCATGGTGGCTTTGGAATCTTCTTCTGTCCCTTCCAGCAAGGACAAAACACCCAACAAAGCCCTGCCACCATTTCTCATGGTCCAGAGGAGCCACAGACCTGCCACCCTCCTGCCCATAAATAAATTCCACGTGCCCAGCACCGAGGCACAGCTCAGCTTTCCCTCATTCCAGCCTGCATTCAATGGTGCATTTTATTTCCTCCCTCCCTTCCATTTTAAACCTAAGACCAGAATATTTTTTTTATGCAGGTCTCCTTGGTCCTGGCTGTGTCTTGAATACAATATCAATTTATTCTAGTTAACTCTTCACCCCTGTTCCTGCTGAAGTGAGGGCAGCTCCAAACTCCTCTGGGATGCAGGATTGACATTGCTGGTGTGTTATTTAATCTCACAAACAGTTCCTTGTGCCCAAATTACCTTGTTTGTCTCCACAAAACCATCCTGGATGTTCACACAACAGTGCAGCTCCCATTCTGTAGCCCTGCTGCTGCTCTGGTAACAAAAATTCGATTTCTGGGTATTTCAGTCGAATTCCAGACTGTACCCAAGTGACATTTAACCAGACAGGAATGTCATGCAATAGGTCAGTGGAATGGAAGAGTGTTATTTGCTTTTTTTAATATTAAAAATACAAAGTATAAATAATCTGGGGGGGAAAATTAAATCAGAAATCCTAATATTGCTTCCATAATTGCAGATTAAGTTATGGAAAGAATAAAGCACAACTCCATGGGCAGATGATTTCCAGAGGCAAATCAATAGCTTTTAAAGGGCATATTGACCAGCAAAAATGAACCTTGGGAAAAGAGCTAAAATTAAAAAAATATCTACTTGACAAATTATTTAAAATAAGGATTTTTCAGCTTCTTGATCTAAAGTACATTTAAATCCAGTGATCTAAACATTTTGACTGCAAATCCCAGGTCAGGTTACAGCCTGATCCTAGCAAATGTTTTCATTATTGAGACCTTGCTTGTGTAAGAGAAGATGTTTTAAATTTACATCAGACACTCTTGATTTAATTCTGAATTACCTTTTATATTAGTATGGTCACTTTTTTGGCAGGGATTTAATTTTTTTTAACACACTACAAATTTTCCCTCCATTAAAGAAAAATAACATCTTTCCACATCAGCCTCTTTTGTTGCCCATTTCCATTTCCTCTGTCTCAGATGAAATTAAATCCTTAGTGAAGAGCCTCAATGATTGCAGTTTGCCCTTCCAGTCACTTTGTATTAAATTTGGAAAATTAGCAAAAGTACAGCTCCACTCCCAAATGCTGGCCCAACACAGAGGTTGACGCTCCTCTTCATGCACCATGTGCAAGACCCAGGAGTTTTTTTGGTGTATTTTTGGGAAAGGACAGTCAAAAGCTGCCATTAATCTCCATTTATGTCCCTGCACAGCCCAGCACTGCCAGGAGCTGCTCAGGTCTTTGGCAACTTTTTAGTGTCAGAGAACCACAGAATCATTAAGGTTGGAAAAGACCCCTGAGATCAAATCCAACCATTCCCCCAGCACTGCCAAGGCCACGATTGACCCCTGTGCCCAGGTGCCACATCCACATGGCTTTAAAATCCCTCCAGAATGGGCACTCCACCACTGCCCTGAATCCAGTGCCTAACCACTCTTTTTATGAAAGAAATTTTCCTAAAACCCAACCTAAACCTCCCCTGGTGCAACATGAAGTCATTTTCCCTTGTTCTATGGCTTGGTACTTGGGAGAAGAGAACAACTCCCCCCACCCATGAATATTCCTGCCTGGACATCAAGGCTCTGCTGAACGAGGTCTTTCAGCCCATGCTAAAAAGCTTTTTCTGAACAGAAACACATTTCCATCACTCTGGAAAGAGATTTTTAGCAGGAAGGCAGACTAAGACCTAAACCAGAAAGACTTAAAGTAAATCAGAAAAACCCACAGTGCCTAGGAGGTGGAAAACTTGTGTTGCAAATACCATGTGGATTTGCAGTGGGTGCCCAGCACTTATCACTAAGAAAGGAAACATTTCTGCTGGGAACATCTCTGTTGACTCCCTGCTGCTGCCTCAGACCCAAATCCTTCCTTTGGGAAGTCATCACCACTGGGGGAAAAAAAGGGAAAACCTCTGTAAGCCTTAAGGAAGCTTAAATTCTGTGCACTAAAATTCTGTGCACTGAAATTCTGTGCACCTTAAAGTGCTTTTGACCCCCACATGTGCCAGAGGTTTCACAGGAGGAAGGATGAGATTTGCCTCAAATAAAGGAGTTTTTTTTGTGCCTGGCCCTGAGCACAGACCCTGGTGTGTGTGTTTACCACCAGAACATGCAGGGAATGCCTTTGGTTTGCCCTTCCCAAATTCATTGATGAAAACAGCCCCAAGCTGGGCTGTCTGTGCTGCTCTGCACAGTCAGGGTCCTGCTCGTGACTGAAACAGGCTGAGCCCTGTGCCAGACTCATCCCTGGGCTTTGTTCAGGGCAGGAACCCCAACGATTTCCAGGACACCCAGCTTGTCCTCTCCATCAAGCCACATATAAATGCTGAAAATGCAGATATTCTGCAGCCTCAGAACAGCTCCAAACACACTTTTTTTCTTTTTTTTTTTTTTTTTTTTTTTTTTTTTTTTTTTTTGGTTTTATTATGGATTCTTCTCAATTTTCACAACCCCCTGGCTTGGCTGGCAGAGTCAGGGACATTAGAAGGAGACCAGCTGATGGACAGGCTCAGAGTGAGGCAGCGAGATCACAGAGAGTAATTTCCTAAGAAAATAGACCTAGGGAAAAAAAAAAAAAAAACCAACATTGTCATTGTTTATCTTCTTTCAGCAGGTCTTGTTTTTCTTTGGAAAAAGCCAGCAGTGCAGCAAACAGCTTCATGAATATACAGATTGTTTTTGGCAACTACCAATTAGCAAAGATTGTGTTCATGCAATCCCCAAGCAGCTATTTCCCTGGGAATTTCTTGTTTTGAACAAGCCATTTTCCATTAGAGAAAACACACACAGTGACAAATAGCTCTTGCTAGTGAAGGGAGATGGGAGAAGGGCAGGCAGACCCCCTGGTACTGGGGGGTTGGAAGATCTGGGCACAGAGGAATCAGAAACAGGACAAAACAGAATGAAAAAATATCCTGGTGTGCACAGAGATGTCACTATTAGGCCAAGGCACTTTGGGGTCATCACAGCCTACATCAAGCACCTACTTCCAGGTGAATCCTACCCAAAAAGTGCCAGCTGAGGTTCCCCACAGCTCCTGTGAGCCCTGCAAGCCCAGCCTGGTCCTTGCACCAACCATGCAGCCTGGAGAAAGAAACACAGCACTCAAATATTCCAAACACACTTCACAGCTTTGCCTGGGACACTGAGTGAAGCACAGATCAGGCACACAGGCACTTAAAATCAGCTTTGAAGGATAGATTTTTATTTCCCAATGTTTTCATGTAACAAAGTGCTACATTCCATAGTTACAGGATGAGGAGCTGCTCCTGTCCACAAGAGAAAACCACAAGGAAGGAGGAGGACTGCCCACAACTCTCTGTGGAAGCAGTGCAGCCCAGAGGAGCCTCACCAGGGTGAAGATCTGCCCTCAGAGACACCTTTAGGGACCAGCAGCTCTGTGGTGGAGGTGCATTCATCCCAAGGGGGCAGGAGCTGCCAGGCAGGCTGGTTCCTCCTGTCAGAAATGGGGCTGGAGATGCCAAAGCTGTCGTGCAGTGCCTGCAAGGAAATTCTGGCTTGTGCTCTCAGGAGAATGCAAAAGGGAGGCGAGTGGCTGGTCCTGTGTGGGGTGCAGGGAGTGTTATTGCTGCAGTGACAATGTCACCACCCTCAGCACTCAGGGCCTTGCAGTTCACCCAGAGCTGAGGATGAGGAGGGTCCTTCCTGGCTGCTTTCCACGCCTTGCCTTTTCCAAAAGAACCTGCTGGTTTGGCAAGGTAAAGATTCAATCAGCAGTGTTAGGCCACTGCAGCTTCAGCTCCCACCCCTCCCTGCTGCCATCTGGTCATTCCAAGGGAATCAATCCAACTCCAGGAGCTGTGCAGAGGGTATTTTTAAGAGCCCAATCCGAAGTCACTTGGCCTTGAATGAGCAGGGAAGGGGCTGAGTGGTGCTTGTGCTTGAAGGACCTGCAGATGCTGCAGGAAACTCTGTCTGAGCTCCCAAGGCTCCCACAAGCTTCCCTCAAGCCATGGCTGGCTCTGACTGCCCACCTTGCTTCCTGGGGACCCTCCAGGGCTGACCAAAACCAACTATTCCACAGAAAGCTCCCCTCCAAATGGCCTTCAGCTGGCACTGCTGGCCAGCAGCACTCAGGTCCCATCCTTGGGTGAAGGATTTCAGAGCCACAGTCAGGCCTGGCTGTGCAGACAGATCACAAGAAAAACCTTTGGGAAATCCACCTAACTCCTAAATCAGTCTCCAGCAGAGATCAGAGAGCCCACACTGAACTGAGCATGCAGCTGGTCCTCCCTTCCTTGTCGACTCCCAGCATCCAAGCCACCCTTGCACGTCCTCTCTGGTTCTGAGGACACCAGCCCCCCCACAGATGCAGTAAAACCCCACTTCCATCATCCTGACTGGCAGGGTTGCCTTTAATTCCTCAAATTCATTATGCTGGAGAGGGAGAAGAGAGACAGGGAAAACTGATTGCCTCTGCAGAAAGGCAGTGTTTCCCAAATTGGGGATTTATTAGCCCAACAAAAGGCCACATCACCTCCCCACCAGCCTTCCCAACCCATCAAACTGACAAGCCATCCATAAGGATCCTCCTGAGCTGCCAGAGCTGGGCTACTTAAACCAGCAGCCTTCCTCAGCCATCCTCCCTCCTCCTCCTCCTGACTGACCCAGCAGCTCTGTATTTTATCAGGTGTTTTATCAGCTATTCACCTTGCAATCCCAACCATGCTTTACTGAGAAAAAATCATCCAAGAGCCCAAGGGACAGCATTTCCCAATTCCCAATAGTGCAAGGCAGCCAGGATTGATCAGCTGGACTGTCAACACCTTAAAGCACCTCCAAGCTCCAACAGACTTAGGAATTAGAAGGAAATAGGAAGAAATCAGTCTGGAGGGAAAACTTCATCTTAACTTGGAGTGACCACTTAGTATGTGAGGAAGAGGTCTGAATTTTGGATTTCATGGTACTGCCAGTCAGTGCCTGTTAAAGATGTGGGGCTGCTTTTAGGCAAAATCCTCCTGACTGATATTCCAGCAACAAAAAGGCAGAGATGCACCATGGAGCCCTGTCTGGGGAAGCCTCTCCTGGAGGGATTAGGGTATGAAGACCCCCCCCCTCTCCCATCACCCCCCAGAATTTGTTGTCTCCCCAGCCTGCTCCCCATGCACCCAGCAGGATGAATGACTGAGGTACCACCCACAGCTGTGGGACTGGAAGACTGAGCATTAGAGCAGCACTTTGGAACAGGGGTGTCCCCTCTGTCCTTGTCCAGGTGACTCAGTGGGGCTCACAGGAGAGTGCCTGGGCTCTGCTGAGCAGGGGTTGTTCAGAGCTGACCATCACATCTGATTTAATGTCCAGAGCACACCCTGAGCTCTCAAGGGAGAGCTCACCTCAGGAGGGGCTCCTGGAAGTCCTCTCTGCCTTGCAACCCTACTGACACATCCACAAGACATTTCCCCACCATCCACAGGCCTTTCCATCTCCACAGGGAACCAGATCCTGCTCCTGCCCCTCCTCAACCTCTCCTCCTTCCCTCTTCTCCAAAGGCTCAGAGGGATTGAATCTCAGCAGATGTGGGGTCTGCCCTTACTTTTCTGCTCACTTCTCCTCTGGCAAGAGTCACTGTTCCTTGCAGGAAGGATGATTCCCCACAGAACAGCAATTCCCACCTCAGAAACATGGGTGTTCTGCATGTCAGATTGAATAATTCCACAGTGGGAAGCAGAGCTCAATAGTGCAGCTCTTTTCCTGGCTATTTTGACAGCATTTCTGGGCAAAGCTACATTACTCTCCCCTTCTCAGTGCCTGTGTCACCTCAAGCACTGTGTCCCTCAATGCTCAGCACTAACAGAGAACCTCCACAACTCCCTGCACCCATCTGTGCTATGAATTCACCTTTCTCCCTACAGCCAAGGGTTCCCAGTGGGGTCATCTCACTCCCCACAGCTGACATCACTCCAGCTCTTGCTGTTTTCCCACTGTGAGCCACGAATCCCTCAGCAGTGACTGCCACCTGCTCCCCAGCCTTTGGGGCATTTCTGTATTCCATGGTTTGCCCACAGGAGCTGTGGCTGCCACATCCCTGGAAGTGTTCCAAGCCAGACTGGGTGAGGCTTGGAGCAACCTGGGATAGTGGAAGGTGTCAGGGTTGGAAAGGTCCCTCAAAATTCCCTTCTAACCCAAACCATTCTGTGATTCTGTGAGACAAGACCCATCCAGATCCCCCAAAGGTGCTGTTGTTCATGCAGCTTTCAGGGGCTGAAAATGCATTTTCCAGTGGGGTAACGGGGCACAGAGGCTCCACTCTCATCCCTATGGGAATGCAGCCTTGGAAAGAGAAGAACCAGGAGTTAGTGTCCTTCCAAGAGGAGGCAGAAGCTGGGGAAGTTTCTGACCTGCCTCTTCTCTCACCTCCTTGCACAGTGACCAAAAGCTAAGAGATGCAGGCAAGAGCCCCCGTCAGTAGGTGAGCGCTGGTATTTATTGTGCTGTAACAGACAGTGCTGGTTGAAAATGGACAGGGAATTTCGTGGTGCAATCAGTGCTGAGGCCATTCCTGTGTGTCTCCAAGCAGTGTGGAGCAGAGCTGAAGGAAGAAAGGGTGAGAGTGGGGGCACCCGAGGGCAGAAATGTGCTTCAAACTGTATCAAGAGCCCTGTACATGGGCAGCCAGGGGTACAGTTCAGGCTTACAACTCATTAATTAAGCAGAGCAGCTAATCTTAGCACTAACGAACTCTAGCTCAGGTAATGTAACATTTCAAATGAATTGGACAGAAGTCATTCACAGTAAAGATTTCCATTCCTGGGATGGGTGAGAGCTATTGTTATGATTATATTACTGCCAGCCAGGACCAAAACAGTACAACAGGGCAAGAGGAAAATAATCATCCACATGGATCAGCTCCAGCTGAGGCTCTGAATGAGGCGCCGGGGGCGAGTGTGAGATCTCCACTACTGTATCAAAACAAACACCACGGGTGGCACACGTAGAGCATAGCATTGTCATTGTCACTGGGCTGGGGACACCACCCCTGCCCGGGGCAGCCCAGGGAGCAGCAGAAAAGTCACTTGTTCTTCTTGCCCCCTGCTCTCCCTCCTCTGAAAAGTCACCAGCTCTCCCAAGGGCACTGCAGTTCCACTCAAAATTCATCTTCAGAGCTGTCGGCCAAGAGCATGACTCGGTCCTGCATGCTGTTAAATTCCCTCTGCTGGGGGAGGAGAACAAACATCAGAGAGCTCCACGTGCACAAAGGAACCAAAGGAAGAGAATTCAGATGCCCCCATCCCGTAACAGACCCCAGGCAGGCTGTGTTTGCCTTCCAGCCAGAAGGGCTCAGTTTCCATTCCCTCCCCTGGCAGTTTCCATACCTTCCTTTTGTGTCTCTTGGAGCCGTTTCTCCTCCGGCGATTCATAATCTTGATGCTGTAGAGCGCTCCCAGGATGAAGAGGGCTCCAGCTATTCCAACTCCCACAGGAACCAGCATCCCTGACATGTATCCTGCCTAAAAGGAGAAGAGAGGAGCAGAGCAACACTCCCAAAGCCATCCTTCCAGAGCCATTTTCACCAGCCAAGCACTCTATCCCTACAGTGATTTTCTCAAAGTTTACTGGGCTGCCTGCACGGGGTGATTCCCACCTCCAGGAGCAAGCTGGTGACCAGCACAACTCAGATTTTCCTGACAGATACTTACTGGTGACAGCTGAGACCCTGCAGTGCCTGCCTGCCTTTAGGAGAGGGACATAATCTCTCAGAGATGGGCCACTGTGTGCTGGAATCCTCATCAGGGTGGAGGGAATATAAAACAGAGGATGGGGCAAATGAGAGGGGCATATAAAACTGGTGTCACCTCGGCTTTGTACTCAAAATCTTGGAGCCAAACACTTTGGCTTTGCATGGGAAGGGGTTCCCTGCATGGTGACACAGAGAGAGGGCACACACACCCTCAGGTGGCCTTAAGGGGAGCACAGCAAAAGCAAACCAGCCCTAATTCAATCCCTGTGATCCATATGTCTGCCCATTAAAACAAAAAAATACAGACAGCATGGCTAATCTAAAACTACAACATCTAAACACTCTAAATCCTCAGGAAAATATTCCCAAGTGCTTGCTATTTTATATTTTGCTGCTTTAAATGGAAAGGAATCTAAGTTTTAAAGTGCCAGATTACTTCAGAATCCTCACCTAATTTGGGCTGGTGGGCTCAGTGTTGCAAGGGGGGCAGGCAGAGCCTGGCTCCCCCCTCTGTAGCTCTGCCTCTCCTCACACTGCAGCCACAGTCCTCTGCTGTGCCACTACAGCTTCACCCCCAAAAATCGATTTTACAGCTGCCATGGGACGCAGGCTGCAATTCTGAGGACTATCAGACAGCTCCTAGCGAGACTCAGCCCATTGCTTACAACCACCTGTTCTTCATCTGTGCTCTCAAAATAAAACACACACACCATAATTCCTTCCCTTCCATAATTCACTGAGTGGGAGGAAAAACAAAAGTTATTCAGGTGCACCAGCCTGCCTTTGTACACTTACCTGGAGAATGACAACTGCTTTCATCTGGGGCAGGCACGATGCCAGGGAGGGCTGGTTTGTCTCCCAAGCCCCTCCAGATCCTACTCAGTGCTTTAAACAAAAACAGCTCCTCTGTGTTTGGATCCTAAAGCTTGAGGGATCTTCAGCTGCATTGTCCAGATTCCCTGAACACCCTCCCAGAAACCCCAGCCCTGTTCAGCTCCTGAAAAAGGAGGTTAGTGAGGACACAGCTGAAGGCTGTGTCTCTGTCAGGCAATTAAGGTGTCTTAATTGGGTGACCTAATTAGTGCAGTGTGGGGTTTTCTATTTCTGGAAGTTTGCTGCTGGCATGGGCAGTGAGGGGAGGCTGTAAATGGCTTTTACATGCTGCCCAGCTGAGTTTCCATGTCAGAAATCACAATGAACTCCTCAGCCTGTCTGTGAGCCTTTTTCACACCTGACCAGCCCATGGCCTTTTACAGATTTCCCCCAGATCAATGTTTTATACCCCAAAAACCTGTGATGTGGTACAAATCCAGCCCTTCTGTGTCTTGCAGCCCAACTTCTGAGGGCTTCTGCACTTTCTTGATAGAAAACCCCATTTCACAGGCCAGAACCACATTTTCACCCCTTTATGTGGAAAATGTAGCTTCTTTAGGGATGCTTTCAATACACCCAATCCACGCTCATGCCCTTCCTGGCCCTGCTGTGCTTTGAGATAACAGCAGGAGAACTGGAGAGGAACTGCATGTCCATTATTTGCCACACCAAATGCAGCATTTGCACAGTGATTGCAGGAGGCCAGACATAAATCTGTCCCTGACCCTGTGCTCCTGGTCCCACAGCCCCACATCTGAGTGACAGGGAAGGACATTTCTCTCAGAGATGTGCTGGAATTCTCTCCTGGGTGGAGGGATTATAAAACAGAGGATGGGGGCAAATGAGAGGGGTACGTAAGACTGGTGCTGATAAACTCAGGAAGAGGAGGGAATGGGGTGAACAGGTTTATTTGGAGTGATTTGCTACAACAGCAACTGGCTGGGAGTGGTGGGGAGTGTTTTTTGTTGGGCTTTTCTAAGGAAAAATGTGAGCCAGGTGAGAGATCCCAAAGGAGGGAGGTGGTTCAGGAGTGAGTCTCTCTTTGGGCACCAGTGGCTCCTCAGTTACAGCAGTGCTTGTGCTGGGCACTGCCACACAGCCCAGGGGCTGCCTGCACGAGGTTCAGATTCTCCAGAGCTCTGCTGGAGGCTGGAACATGCAGCCCCTCTGCAACAGGGAGGGACATGTGGGAATCCAGGGCTTCCCTCTGGCTGCCCTGGCAGGTCTGGGACCCTGGCAGGGGTCAGGAACCCCCCTGGACAGAGCCCCCAGAGACACTGGCTGTGATCTCTGTCCATGGAAAAGAGTTTTCAATCTCACAGGATGAATTACAAGCTCTGAGTGTTTGATATGAGTAATAATTAAGTGTGGCACGGGTGCAAAAGTAAAATTTTAGGATTCTAGATTAGGGGTCCAAAGGGGACAAGATGGAGGAAATTGGGTGTGCCTTGTCCTTTTCCTCCTTCTTCATGCCCTCCATGTTTCACTGTGGTGTTGGCATTTTTCTGTTGGTTCAGGCTGGGGACACACTGTCCAACGTAGGTGACAGATATTGGCACGTTATTGTAAATCCAGCACAGGTAGTTTCTGGTATTTAATGTTTGTACCATCCCACTGAGGGCAGAGCCCCACACGCTGCCCTGCAGGACAGAGCTGCGGCAGGGCAGCAGAACATGTTAGAGATAAACAGAATAAACAACCTTGAAACAGCACAGACCAATTATGGCTTCTGCTTTGGCAACGGGGCAGAAAGACAGAGACTTTCTACAATCTTGGGATCATCAATACCACAGATTCCGACAGGGACAGAGGTGGCCAACAAGGTGACAAGAGGAAAGATGTGAGAGCTACAGCTTCAGGGAGAAGACACCAATGTCCCCAAGCTCGTGCTGTGCCACGTGCTGGCATGAGCAGGTGCCCTGTGCACACTGCAACCCCCCCAAAAACACAGCCAGCCTCAGGGGCTGCTCTTTACCTTGGCTGGGAAAACCATTCTCTGTCCTTTCAGCATCTGCTCTGGATGAATCCCAGGCCAAGGAGGCTCTAGGCTGGCTCTAGACTTGCCTCCTTCCTAGTGCAGGCAGAAAGGCAACTCAAAAAGGGCTGGGCAGGAACCCACCTGAAACCCTCCCACCCCCCAGTCCTGGAAAACAAACACCCAGCCCCTGTTTCTCTGCTCTGATTTGGTGGCAAAAGTGCTGCTGAAATTTGGTGTGGAGCACGTGGGAAGGCTGGGCTGTTTGGGTGAGTCTAAGCTCAGAGATGTGATTTCAGAGATCACTCCCACTCCTTGTGATGGCTTTTGTTTCTACTGACTCTGATCCTGTTCAAGAATTTTCAAGGCCTGTCGAGTCACAAAATGTTCTTGCTGTCACCTCATTTCCAGCTTCATGGCTCTGCTGTCAGCAACACAACACTTGGAAGGCTTCACAACCATTCTGAAATGTCAATATTTGCTCCAGGGCAGCAGAGCTGCAAAAGGCATCACTGCCTGTGGCTGGCACAGCTCTTGACTCTGTGGAGGGAGGATCAGGGTCTGGTTTACCAGTTTATCAGTGTTACTCTATTTGATCCTTCTCCTTGCAGGGATTTGCAGCACGTGCAGGTAGGAAAGGGCTCATCCAGGGGCACTGGCATGGCATGCAGCCTCTCACCAGAGAAGAGCACCAGAGCCTCTGGATTTGGATCCAGAACTGAGCTCAGCACATAGAGAAAAGGGGTGGAAGTAAATTCTTTACCCTGGGGTCCCTGGAAACATCCCAGGTCAGGTTGGACAGGGTCCTAAATACCTGGTCTGGTGAAGGTATCCCTGCTCAGTGCAGAGGGACTGATGGACTTCCAAAGGTCCCTTCCAAGCAAAACTATTCTAGAATAAGTTAAGGGGAGATAAAAAAAAGCAACTCAGGTTATCTGCCAAGGTCATTATCTGGTGCAGAGAAATCGATCAAACACTTCTGTCCCTCCTGCCCTTAGTTACAACCCATCAGGGATTTATTTTGGATTCACACCACTCTATACCAGCAGCATCTGGTTTATTTGCCTCCCAGAAAAATATTTAAGCCCTTTCTCAACTGTCTGTATAGAGATAAAGAACTGCACTGGCACGAATTTATTTATTCCTGTGAGTAAAAGTGGCTTTGCTTTGAAAGGAACGGAAACACTGAGCCTCCTACCTTATCTTTCAGCTTCTCCATCCAGCTTCTCACTGAAAAATAAGGAAAAATAAAAGCTGCAATCATGTTACTTTCATTAATTAGTGACAAACAATAGTGATAACATTAAAATAGACAGCAATTAAATTGACAAGCTGATAAGGCTGAACATTAGATTTCCTCTTTTCTCATTCATGAGAAAAAAGCAAATGCAGCAAATCAGCACAAGAAACTCTTGGAGTGAGTTGGCAGGCAAGTAGCTCTCCTTTGGCTGAGCAATTCACATGATTTAAAAAGGAAAATATAAACCAGGATTTCAGGCTGTGGATTTTTGACCATCACTTTTCATACACACACTGGGAGAAACGTTACAGCGCAGTTCTCCCCTTCCAGTGGCCTCCTCTGTGAGGATATATTCCCTGTATTTTGTATAGCCTGTAATGATGGCTAAAAATGTATTATTCACTGCCTTTTATTCTCCTGATTTTCTGGAAGAGCCACTGGCTGCTCTGGGAAGCTTCCAGAGGGCTGGGATGGCACTGGAGGTGCTAAATCACCAACCCAAGCAAATTTGTACTGCCAGCACTGCGACTTTCTTCTCCTGACAGCTGAGTAAAATATGAAATATGACAGCTGGGAGTTAAAATTGTGTAATGGCAGGTGCTTTGGGATGGAATATTCACTGATCTCAAAGAGCTGCACGGGCTCAGCAGTGGGTGCAGGAGTCACTAACACCACAGGGCACTGAGGGCAAAATGCCCACAGGGATCTGCCAGGATTTTAACAAATTCCTGCTCGTAGGTAAGAAGCAATAAACAGTCAAATATTGGGGGTTTTGGGGGCTCAGCAAGTGTGTTTTATCAAGGATTCTCATCTCTCCAGGAGGACAGTGCTAAAGGCACAGGGGACTCCTGGATGCAGCAATGTCCTTCTGAGGGATATTTTTTCCAGAGTGTGTTAAATCCCAAATGTAACAGGCAGTTTATGGATTTAAAGCTGATTTCCAAGCCTGCTTTGTTATGAAATATCTCCTCAAAGCTTGAATTAGCAATATCAGTGTCTGCAGGTGCACCTGCAGCACTCAGAGCACCCTTCTGTGAGTGGGGAGCAGGAGGGCCAGCAGCAAATGGTTATTTTATGTCTCAGATACAACACAAGCTCAATTGAAGACTCCCTTTGAAGTGTTAGCAACACAACACCTTCCAAACAGAAGGATCCCAAAGTAGCTAAAGGTGAACACGTGTGAAAGAAGCACAGGTGCACTCATCTCTGATGAGGAGCTGATTAAAAAAAAAAAAGATGAATTATCCAGGAGAGGGACACACACAGCACTAGAAGAGGACAAGAGGTTTTGTTTTATCAGCTCTCCCCCTCATTAGTCCTGGCCTGCATAGGCTGAGCCATACAAAACTCAGTTTATGAAGGTGCCACCACAATCCTCCTCTGCCAGGCCAAGCCTGCATGCCCTGGATTCACAGAATCCACAGAATCCCTGGGTTGGAAGAGACTTTCAGGATCATCGAGTCCAACCCAGCCCCAGCACCTCACCTAAACCCTGGCACCCAGTGCCACATCCAGGCTTTGTTAAACACACCCAGGGATGGTGACTCCACCACCTCCCTGGGCAGCCATTCCAGAACTTTATCACCCTTTCTGTAAAAAACTTCTTCCTGATACCCAACCTGTATTTCCCTTGGCACAGCTTGAGGGAATTCCCAGTGGAATCCCAGAGAGAAAGCAAACCCACGGCTGCCCTGGGCTGGGTCTGCAGGTGTGACACTGCCAGGAGGGGTGGTGACAGTGGCTCAGACACACAGGGCTTGGGGACAGCAGCCACACATGCACCCACAGTGCCCAGCTGAGCCCAAAGCCTATTTTTACAGCTCTCCCAATTCCATGGGAGCAGTGATCTCATCAACAGCCGACCCATTTTCCTGCAGCTGAACAACGGCAGCAATTAACTCCAGAGTATTTCTGCCAAGGCAGAGGCAGGGCTGAGCTAAGAATATTCTATTACCTATTTTTAATGAACAAAGATTCTGGCTTTGTTCCCCTCTGCTCCACCAAACAACAGCAGCACGCCCGCTGGGGCCCACCAGCTCGATAGTACAAATCTTTATTTGCTATTACACATTTGTTTGTTATTAAACCCAGCCTTGATTTCAGCCATGAGGTGCCTTTGGAAATCAACCCAGGCCACGGGAAAAACAACCCAAGGTGATTCTCCCTGACTCTCCAGGGGATGCTCTAATGCAGCCACAGCCTCTGACCTCTGCTAGAGGGAAATAATGGCCCCAAATTAATGAAATTCAGGCAGGAGGTCAGAAACCTTCAATGCAGTGGGAAGGAGCAGAGAGTGTGGAGCTGTCACAGCCAAGGTCCCAGACCTGCCAGGCTGGGGCCACACAAGTCAAGGAGCACTGGGTTACCATGAATTACAAACACTTCTCATGTCACCAATGCACCAAGGGTCTAACACCTGGCAGGAGATCACAAACCACTGTGCCACCAAAACTGAGAACTCTCTGCTCCAGTGATTTACCCATCTGTGAGTGGTTAGGAGACAGAGCATTATTCCAAGGTAGAATTGATATCTGTGCTAAGCAGCTACCATCAATTAATTCTGGGCTTCAGACTCTAATTATGCAACAGACTCCATAATTAATATTCTGGCTTAGGAGAGGAACGCTGTGGCTGGCACCTTCCCATGAAAGTGCAGCACTCTCCAAGAACACCAGGTGACTTGCCAATGAGGGCAAGCAAATAATTAGTAAGAAATACACTAGTCCATGTATTTTTTCATCATCCCCTTTATTCCTCCTTTCTCTGATCACTGAATGTCCTGAAGAAATTCCAAGAGTCTCTGGGTGTGAATCACTAACAAGTGTCTGCAGTGCTGGCTCATCTTCCACAGCACTTTTAAGGATGGTGACTGCTCCAAATTCTCTTCCTCAGCTTAATTTTGATCCCTTGGTTTCATGGGCAGCTAAGTAAGATGAGTGTGGAGCACTTCTGCAAATTACATCCATAATCTGACATTTCCTCAGTGATTTATATAATGTCTGCCTCTCTGCAAATTAATTTTAAATAACATATAGCTTAACATTAAGCCAGTCAGGAGCACAGAGGAGGAGCATGCTTGTCTGGCACTGGCCTCAGAGCAGTGCAGGATAAATTCAGACAGCTACAGATGCAATGCTGCTATTTTTAGGCAGTTTTAGCCAGCTCTCCCCTTCAAAATGAGCATCCAGCTGAAGAAGTGAGGCTTGTCTGCAGAGGTAAGCAGCAGCCTGGGGTGTCTGCCTGGCCCTTTTTGGTGGGACCTGGCCCAAAGGGACAGTCACAACCCCCTGTGAGCAAAACCCTTCTGGAAGTTCAGGTTTTGGCAGATGTAGGCAGGAGGCTCAGGAGGGGACAGCAGGTGACACCTGAGGGTATATGGCACTGGATGCCCAAAATCAGAAGGTGCTCTGAGGTCTCCCCAGAGCCTTCTCTTCTCCAGGCTGAACACTCCCACCTCTCCCAGCCTGTCTCCAGCCCTCAGAGCATCTTTGTGGTCTCCTCTGGACTCACCTGAGTCCAGATCCCATTTATGCCGAGGCTTCCCCCATGATCTCCCTCCCTGCTGCTGTTCCAAGGATTGTCCATCTTCAGACAAGTTCTTGTTCATTTTCCAGGTCTCCTGTGCCCCCCTGTGCCCTGGCAGCTGCAGGGGCTGGCTGCCAGAGCCTGGCTCTGCCTTTCAGCCTCACCACAAGGCACCATCAAATCTCTCACCAAAGGCTTTCCCTGCTTCCCTCTCCACCTTCCTCTGAAATCAGGAGCACAAGTCCTCAGGGCCTCTTGCTTTGCCAACTTTTAGTAATCCTAATTGCCTAATTATCCACTCCAGTGCAATGATAAAGCTGTTTAATAATTCTGTTCTCTTCTCATTCATTCTCTCCCTTCCCAGATAAGAAAATGCAAAGACTTCTGGTGGATATTTCAATCAATAATTCATGCCCTACTGCCATCAGCCGTGTCTCCCCACTCCCCTCTTGGAGGCCCTGCTGCTTTGTCTTGTCACTTTGGTTTCATCTAATCAGCTTGTTTTAATCATATCCTCTCTCTTAATCAGTTCAAGCAATTCTGTTTTTCCATGGCACATTATCACTCATCCCTGCAGATGTTGCTTGGTTTTCAAATCCAGCACTCCCAGCTTAATTCCAGAACTCCATCCTGCTACTGAGGAAGGTTCAGCCACCAATTTTCCTTTTAATAATTCCACCACAACCCCCAGACCAGTGTGGAAAATGTGGCACTGCCAGGGATGGGGGATCCTCAGCTTCTCTGGGCACCCTGTGCCAGGGCCTCACACCCTCATAGTCAAGAATTTTTTCCTTATATCTACTCCAAAGCTGCACCCTTTCAGCAAAGGAGAGCTGGTTAAAGTGCAGAAAATAAGGAAAAGATTGATTACTTTCAGTCAGTCTGTATATACCAAACAACCTGCCCTGTTCCATTACAGATTTCATCCCTTTCTCTTGCAGGTTAAACTTTTTTTCCCAAATGAGACTTGTGAGAACAATTTTGCAGAAATGCTTCGTGCTTCATCTGCTCAGCTCTGACAACTTAATGGCACAAGGGTGCATCTGCTCCTTTCCCTTAAAAAAGCACAGTTTTCAATTTACTTACTAGCACAAATAAATAATAAAAGAAAATGGCATCTGCCTGGAAGGCAGCATATTTTTAATTCCAGAACAACTACTCCTACCTGATGGGAATGTTGATGCATGAATTGCCCAACTCCAGAAGACTTGAACAGCTGGATAATCAAACAAATGTCAAACTGACAATTACTATTTATGTTTTCAGATAAAAATTTTGCTTGGGTGAACTTTGAATTAACCCAGTGAACTTTAATAGCTACCAGGGCACTGTCTGCTCCCTGAACTGCACCATCTACAGCCTCTTCCCTGCCTGCCCAGCTGCAACCCAAGCCTGGCTGCAACCCAAAACTGCCTCAACCTGCCCAAATCTCTTGGAAAAGAAATGGAGATGGGGAGACAACTCA